TTTGAAGATTTGTCTGATTTTTCTACTCATTAGGATTCATGTTAGAAACCATTTCTTTCTCCTTCAGCAAAAAAGAAAATGTAATAGGCTTGCGTTTGAAGGTCAATCGAATGCTAATCCAAGGTCAAAAAGGCTTCAAGGACAGTCAAGATGACTGGATGGCAGATGGCTTCTTTATAGCTTATTCTAGCTGGAGAATATGAGCTTAGATTCTAAAAAAAAGGACTGTGGATATTAAAGCTAGAGTCCTTATCTTGGTATCGCAAAAAGAAAATCCACTCAGGGGCAAGAGAGCTGGATGTCAGTTTGTATTAAAATATCTGAAAATTACCATCTCTTAACCTTGCATTTGGTAAATGAATTGCAATATTAATTTAGATAACAATTCAACAGATAACAAGAAGAGACTGCATTTTCCCGTGTATTTAGAATCAATGACCTTTATAATTCTGATAAAGTCTAGTTCATTGCTTCTGTCAAAAATGTTTTACCCAGTATTTATTGAAAGTCCACAGCCATGATGCTCCTAGCAGGAGGCTAAAAACTACTTATTATAGAAAAGTAAAATCAACAAATGATAATGTCAAAACCACCTGTTTGTATCTATTCTGACATAACAAACAACAAACACTGTCCTCCCATTGTTCATCAATTTACTCAAGCGGCCCAGTAACGTCTCCATTGTGAGACTTCTTGTTACTGTGTTTGGCATATTGAATACTCTCGGTAGCTTGCCAGGCTCTCCAAGAGGGGCGGAGGAATTGAACCTGGCTCGGCCGGGCTGGCTGTGTGCAAGGCAAATGCCCTACCGCATATACTATTCTGACATGACCAGTAATATTTTCATTTGGAATAACTAGTCTGTAATTTACCAGGCATCTCCTCCTACAATTCAACAATTAAGTGAAATGAAATTCAGCAATATATTGTCCTTACACACACACACACACACACACACACACACACACATACACGCACATACATACACGCACACACACACTCTCTCTCTCTCTGTCTATCTCTTACACACATTTGTTTTTTTTTTAATTTTCATATAAGAAATTTATTTGGCTTTTTTATTCTAAGCACTTCATGAAATGCATTATGAGAGAGCAACTTTTAGACAAAAATAGATGAAAAATGGATGAGCCAGTAAATTGTATTTAAAAGTGATCTATTCTTGATAAAAGAAGGTAAAGTTAAAAATCTTGCTAGTGGCTTTTCTGGTAGAGCACATGCTAGCATGTGTGAACTCCAAGAACTGATTCCAGGCACCACACACAAACACACACACACACACACACACACACACACATACACACGCGTGCACACACGTGAACACACACTAATAATCTTGATATTACTGCAGGGCTGGGGTGAGGAAGGAGAATCTGAAAAACCTTATATTTAGCTGATGAAAGAAAAAATCAGTAGGAATTCAAAGAACTCAAAATGCCAGAGAAAAAACAACAGTTGTTCCCAACGTATTTACTGAAATCCTTGTTCTGCACTTACCATGCTTGGTAACCCAACTCCAATTCCAGTTGTATTGTCATTCAGTTCCCACCCACAACTTCGTTGTTTTAGTCTGAAATTTAGCAGGCCAATTTCAGACCACTCATCTTTCTTTTTTGGTTAGTTGCGTGGGCAACATTTGGTGGTTCTCTGGGACCAGCAAGTCCACTCCCAGCAATACTTCAGGGGTTATGTAGTGCAAGGGATAAAACCCAGGGCATTGCATATGAAGGCATGAGCTTACCCCTAGAGCTATATTCCCCGCACCTTCTAAATTCTCTATTCACAAAATCAAGATTTTTGTTCTGTTATTTTAAAAGTTGTACCCATGCATGCACAAAAAGAGAAGTTTACATGTCAAGCTGTTTTTTTTATTGCTTACATAACTAAATAATAAATTCTTATTTTAAAATAGAATTTGGCCAATGAATAGTCATAATGTACACCAAGTGCATTTGGAATGCATTCATAAAAATAAATACCAAGATATTTAACTTTGAAAAGCATTAATGATATAGGCATGTTATTTCCTCTTTGACTTTACATGTTGTCACCTCTGAAAAGAACATGCATTTTCAGTAGACTTTCATACTGGGTAGCTTTCATAAGCCATGACCTGTTTTTACTGGTGAACACAAAGAAATGTATAATAAACTTTTTTTATTAAGACCCTCAATTTCCTTTTACTATACCTCATCAAAATTTAATTCATTTCTTCCAAAAATCTGTCTTTTTTGTAGCTCTAATATGTGTTAACATATTGCATTCAGGGTCTCTCTACAATTCTAAATTGTTTTTCATGTGACACTTGTTTATCAGTAGTTATGTTGTTCCAAAATCACTATCAGTCTCATAAATAAATATATTGATCTTAATGCTATCTTGGGCTGGAGCGATCGCACAGTGGTAGGGCATTTGCCTTGCATGTAGGTTCTATTCCTCCACCTTCTCTTGGAGAGCCCGGCAAGTTACCAAGAGTATCTCACCCACACAGCAAAGGCTGGCAAGCTACCCGTGAGTATTCAATATGCCAAACACAGTAACAAGTCTCATGATGGAGGCGTTACTGGGCCTGCTCAAGCAAATCGCTAAACAACGGGAGGACAGTGCTACAGTGCAAAGCTATCTTAATCTGATTTGGCAATAAGATAACATTTACATTTTTTGGCTTGCTCTGTGCATTGGGGTTACTTCCTGGCTTTGTGCTCAGGGATCACTTCTGGCTTTGCAGGCAACTTACCCCCAGTACTATCTTTCCAGACCCAACATTTGCATTTAAAATATACATTTTCCATATCTCTGTTCCAGAAAAATGTATAAATAATTCTCTAACGTTTGAAAAATATCCAAATAATTTATGTTTTATAGTTATTGATTATATGGTTATTTATATTATGTATGGGTTATTTTCTTTCTCATTTTTTATTTAAAAGTTCATCAATTGTTCTTGCACATTTTCAATTATATACATTCAACTCTTGACTTATTTTTCACCTTTCCATTTAGATCTTTCTTTAACCAAATTTTTTCAATTAATTGTATTTTAATGACAACTTATTTTTTGTCATAAACTTCTAAGTTACCTCCATGTTCTACTGTGGTCCTATTAGATGTTAAGTATACAGTTTAAGATTTTGCTACTGACTGAATAGCTTTTTGTTATTCTTTTACTTCTTCCTAATTAAGTTGTTATCTATAAAGCTAATCTCATATTTTGATTTTTGGGGGTTGTTTTCATTGCTGGAGTTAAAGATGTGAACAGCAAATTAGTTTTTAAAAATACATTGATTTCTGGCAGGGCGGGGGGTTAGGGTGGGGGTGGTGGGATGGATATTGGGATCAATGGTGGTGGAGAATGGGCACTGGTTGGAGGGATGGGTACTCGATCATTGTACGACTGAAACTCAGGCACAAAAGTATCTAAATCTGTAACTGTACCCCACGGTGATTCAGTAATAAAAAAATTAAAAATACATTAATTTTCTGACTTTTAAAAATACATAGATTGTACACAAGTGTGTACAAAAGAGTATACACATCAAATTTATATTATTTTTCAATTTCTTGCTAAATTATATGCATTATATATTAGCACAGAGGGTAGGGCATTTGCCTTGCACGAGGCCGAGCTGCTCAACCCAAGTTCGATTCCTTTGCCCCTCTCGAAGAGCCTGGCAAGCTACTGAGAGTATTTCGCCCCCACAGCAAAGTCTGGCAAGCTACTTGTGAGGTATTCGATATGCCAAACACAGTAACAACAAGTCTCACAATGGAGACGTTACTGGGCCCGCTCGAGCAAATATTAAAAAGATAAATTTAAATTCCCTTTTATAGCAATTTTATTGTTTATATCTCAAGTTCCTTGATATTAAAATCCAAATAGAATAACCTTTGTGTAATATTCACCATAAGGTCTTATCTATCATAACTACATAAGTGATTGATCTGTATATAATGACAACAGTAATAGTGGCCTGGCAGTTATGTTCCTCCTGCCTCTTCTGAAGGTGCTATTATGAAGAAGACAATCTATGTGTTCTCAATCTCTATTTCCTTATCTTTGAAAGCTGAAATTATGTTCAGCTTAAGTGGCATTTTCATGACCTATACAAGATATAGATCATGTGAGTCTTTTGTTCTATAGAATTTTGTCCAGGGTCCAGAGATACAGTACAGGGGTTAAGGTTCTTGCTTGCTTTGCGTTAGGTCAACTCCAGTTTGACACCCCCAGCAACACATACCATCCCCAGAGCAGTGTCAGGAGTGACCTATGAGCAGAGAATCAGAAGACCTGAATACTGCTGGGTGTGGCTCAAAAACCCAAACCCAAACCAAACCAAACAAACACTACCACCAAAAAAACCCCCCAAATCTTGCTGTTAGTGTAACAAACACTATAAGCAAAGCTCTTGGGAACTGAAATCAAGATAGAATATTTTATTAAATTCAGTACTCCACCTAAAACTATTGGAAAGGCAGAGATCAATTCATTATTTCTGAAAAAAAAAAAAAAACCACTGTTATCTAAGTGATTTATCAGTCCTACTTGTGCATCCCAGGTTTAAAAGTAAAATTTCTGAAGCAATTTGAGCCAGACCTAGACTTTTTCTTCACAAAAATCTTGGTGTCTGCTAATTTGTTCATTAATAGTTCATCTTCCATGATTATTGATAATCAAATCATTTAAGAGAATATAATACAAAAGGCAAACGTGTATAACCCTCTATGGATAAAAAAATAAAAAAGTCCTAACATTATTATTAAGAAGAAAATTTCCCTAGAATTACATCTAACAACAAGCATTCTTGCTAAGCTAAAAGAAAACTTTTTAAAATGAATCATGTTCCAGTATGTGAATAATACAATGCAAAACCTATAAAAATATACATTTTACAGTTGTGAAAACAAAGTCTATCTGCTGCAGTTTTTATTGTTTTAAACTCTTCATTGTTTTTCACTTTTAGTAACAAGAAGCGCAGACTTACCTGTGCGGTAAACGAAGTTGCCATCCGTTTCTGATGAAGAGGGAGACACCAATTCTTCCTCAAATTCATTGGAACTGAAAGATCCAGAATGGTTCCTTTGTCTTGTGTTTCCCATTATGGCAGCATTTGTGACCATGACATGTCTCAAAGAGTCGTTAAGGTAACGGTTCAACAAGCTGCTCTTATACTTTGGGGGTGACACGTAGTCCTCATTGGCCCGTGACTCTGGCCTCACCCCAGCTTTTATGACTGAGCTTTCACTTTTAATCACCGGATGGTGAGCTGGATTATTATAACTCCCTTCATTCATGTGGTTTCTTGGAGGATTTTCTCCATCTAAGAGAGAAAAATATCACGAGGTTGTAATTACACATACTTTCCCACAACCACCCAACTATCATATTTCAATTACTATAAAAACAAATCAGGAGCTGAAGCGATAGCACAGCGGGCATTTGCCTTGCATGCGGCTGACCCAGGTTCAATTCCCAGCATTCCATATGGTCCCCGGAGCACCGCCAGGAGCAATTCCTGAGTGGATGAGCCAGGAGTAACCCCTGTGCATCACTGGGTGTGACTCAAAAAGCAAAAAACAACAACAACAACAACAAAAAATCAATGGCATTTTAAATGTATAAAATTATCTTTAATATGGAGACTAATTTTTAGGTTAAAAAAAGTAGGAATCTATTTAATCTCTCCCTGTGGAATTTTAATTTTAATGAGTTTTACAAAGTTATTCTGACACACAATAAATCTATAAATAAGAGGGAACAGTTATAATTCCATTGATCATTTATAGTTTTGTACAAATGAAATGAGCTCATGCAATAAAAAAGCCACTATGACACCATCATATTTTGTGGGATTACCCTTAAAAGAGAAATTGAGGTGAACTTCTAATTATAGAAGCAAAGCCAAAAAGGCAAAATAAAAATATTAACAGACCTTCAGAACATGAATCATCACTGCTTACACTAAGTCGCTCGGCATTTCCTTGAACATACTTGTTGTACAACTTTATTCTTAAAGCCCAACTTAAATCAGGCTGTCGAACTGTATTCTTAAGCCGACGTCTTGCATTAGCAAACCAATTGGACACCTAAAAAAGTATAAATTTTCAATTAAGAAGACAAAAACTCAGACATCATACAATTGCATTCCTGGACCTCTCCTGGGCCTCTCTAAACCTCTCTCAATATCACTGATCAATAAACAGTCTTAGATGGAAATAGTACTGCATATTCATATCCAGTCATTCATTCAACAAACATCTTAGCACTTCCTACAAAGACTGAGCACCTACTGCTTCCTTGTAGTTGAAGAGGGTTTCAACTTAAATTTCCAATCTACTAAGAGAGAAGGAGACTATATAGTAACTCTAACGTTGAAAATAATGGGCTGAGTGGCTCATGTGACATTACCATAAAATGATACAGGAGTCTAAAGAAAGAAGTTACTTTTGCAGGCAACTTAAGACGCTGTGAGAAATTATTATTATTTTTTAGTTCGGGGCCACAACCAGCAATACTCAGGGCTTACTCCTGGCTCTGTGCTCAGGGATCATTTCTGGCAGGATTTGGGGGACCATATGTGGTGCCTGGGATAGAATCCACGTTGACAAGGCAAGCATCCTACCCACGTGCTATGGCTTCAGCCCCTCCATTTAAGGCAGACTTTGAATGAATGTCTGATAGAATGGATAGGGAAGCATTTTCCTACTGAAAAGGACACAGGAACAATTATAAGCAATATACTAGAGGTGGGCTTTAGCAGCTAAGGCATTTGCCTTGCATGCGGCTGGCACCGCCGACCAGAGTTCGATTCCTCCACACCTCTCACAGAGCCCTGCAAGTTTCGGAGAGTATCTCGCCAGCACCAAAGCCTGGCAAGCTACCCATGACGTATTCGATATGCCAAATACAGTAACAAGTCTCACAGTGTTACTGGGCCCACTGGAGCAAAACGATGAACAAAGGGAGAACAGTGACAGTGACAGTGATACTAGAGACATGGCAGTGGGTGAGAAAAGTTAACCATCACCTTAAGTCATCAGACCTAGTCATGCCATTTAGAAAAAGAAAGGTGCAAGGGTGAGGTGATGGGCATGGCTTGGAGAGTCCAGAAAAGCATAGAGATGACAAGCAGCAAGAAGATGAAGATGGTCTCAGCAGAAGCAGTGAGGAAGACCAAATTTGGGTGAGATGTCCAGATGTGAGAGTTTAAGCTATCAACAGGGGGAAAGAGGGTCAAAAACTAAATGCTGGAAACCACCTGAAGGAGGTATGACTATAAAAGAGAAGTGAGAGAAACAGTCTGAGACAGAGCAAGCAGAGAAGTAGGAAGAGAGGGAGAAAGTCAAATAACACCTGCTAGAACCGAAAGGTAAGTGTTTCCAAAGCAAACAGGCCCTGGCAAAGAAATGAACCCTTCCAAACTGAACCAAGTTACTTTGCCTGTTTTTTAATTGGACTTTAAGAGTCTGGAATGGTAAAATTCTTTCTATTATATATACATACATGTATATATATAACCTAAAGGCTAATATTTGACTTTGAAAAAATCAAACGCAGAAATAGAATAATTAGATCTTTCTGCCAATTTGTTCCAGAACATGACCTTAAATTATTAAAATGGTTGGTGTGGGAAATTCTTTGCACTGCGAGGTCCTTTTCTTTGGTTTATACTATAAATGCACATTGCTCAGTCCCTAATGATCCAATGAATTTGAGGTTAGATTCATACTAAAATTATGTAATAAAATTATTTTTTTTAAATATTAAAACTGTAATATTTCTCTTTTTTGTACTGATAGGTAAACCTTATTTTTGCTTAGTTTCAGTTTAGTTTCAATTTAGTTACACTGTCTTTATCCACTCATCCATATCGACATGAACATAGATAACAAATATATGATAGTACCTCCTTTGTGACTTAAGGAGTGATAACTATCCATTTAAATATATGTCCATCTATGTAATATATCACTAAAGCATTTCATAAATTTTAGTTTTCACCAATAATTTTTCCTCTCAAGCTCTGCTATTACTACTATAATTTAATCTGACTTCATATGCTGTCTTTTCCAACCTCTACAGACAATTTCTGGGACTATGTATCAACACACACACACACAAACACATATTCAGTAGCTCTTAGGCTTTAGTCATTGGTATTGATTGCTAGGAATAGATAAATTTTGTCTATGTACACACAGAAAGACTAGTTGTAAAATCTATTTATTCACACCATTCCTCAAATCTTCTGTTCTCCAAATCATTGCCAAATATTCATCCAAGCCCTAACCACTTCTAACAAGAAATATTAGAACAATATTTTAAAATTTATTATTAATGACATAAAATATTGTATTCATTTTAAGTGTACAAACATAATGATTCAGTGTTTGTAAATATTGTGAAATAGTTACCACAATTAAGTCTAGTTAACATCCATATCTATATGTAGGTACAAAAAGTTTAGAGGGGATAAAAACTTCAGATTTTTTAGAAACCTACAAATAAACAATGCCGTATAATTAACAATGATCCTTATATATTCCATTATCTACATCTGCATCTGTGCCTGTATATACAGGCACTCACATTTTCTTTTTCCATCCATCCATGAATGGGATGGTTAGTACGCTTATATCTCTTGACTACTGTAAATAATTCTACAATAAACATATGGTACAATTTTTAAAGATGAATTTTTATGTTTTAATTTTTTCTTTACCATTTTTACTGAGGTACCATTATTTGCAATATTGTCAAGTATGCTTCTCATGCATACATAATACAACACTCCACACAGTGCATACATATTTTTAAGTTGATGTTTTCTTCAGATAAATATCAGAAAGAGAATCACTATTTTTAATTGGGTCATTCTATTTACAGTTTTTTCAGGCAATTCCATCCTTTTTTCCGTAGTGACTGTACCAATTTACAGTCCCATCAACAATGCAAAAAAGTCCCTTTTCTCCACCTCCTCACCAATATTTGTTATGTCACTTTTTATTGACTATTTTTTAAATTAATTTTTTAGTTTTGGGGACAGCGCCAGAAGTACTCAGGGCTTATGCCTGTCAGGACTCTGAGGATCACATGGTAATGCCAGGGATCAAACCTTGTTGGTCACATGCTAGGCAAGTTCCCTGCCTACTGTACTCTCTCCAGCCCTGTAGACTTACTTTTAATGCTGTCAATAATTTCCTTTAATTTGCATAAGATTTTATTTCTTCCTTCTCAGTCTCAATGACTTTTTTCCCTTGCCTAATTGTTCAGGACTTCCAATACAATGTTGATATCTATCAAAGGCTGTTTTTATTTTATTTTTTTCTTATAGAAAAGATTCCACTTTATTTATAAAGTAAATTTATTTTTTTTTAGATTTTTATTAGTGAAACACCATGAGTACAGTTGTAGATTTACAATTTTTTGTGCTTGGGTTTCAGTTATACAATGATTGAATACCCATTCCTCCACCAGTGCCCATTCTCCACCACTACTGATCCCAGTATCCCTCCCCCCCACCCCATCTCCCCCATCCCACCCTGCCTCTGTGGCAGGGCATTCCCCTTTGTTCCCTCTCTCCTTTTTGATGCTGTGGTTTGCAAAAGAGGCATTGAGTGGCAATCATGTTCAGTCTAAAGTTTACTCTCAGCACGCATCTCCCATCCTGGGAGGATCCTCCCAACACCCTTTGAGCTGCCTTTTCCCGTAGCGTGTGCGGCTGGCCTCCAAGAGCTGGATTAAATCTCCTGGTACTAATCTCGGCTATTCTTGGGTGTTAGTCTCCTATTTTGTTACTTTATGTTCCCCAGATGAATGCAATCTTTCTATGTCTGTCCCTCTCTTTCTAACTCATTTCGCTTAGCATGATATTTTCCATGTGGTACCACTTGTATATAAATTTCATGACTTTTTTCATCTTTTCTAACAGCTACATAGTACTCCATTGTGTAGATGTACTAAAGTTTCTTTAACCAGTCATCTGTTCTTGGGCATTCAGGTTTTTTCCAGATTCTAGCTATTGTAATCAGTGCTGCAATGAACAAACAAGTGCAGACGTCACTTCGACTATATAAAAAGCTGTTTTTAAACTAATCTCATAAGCTTGACAAGCACCCAACCAACTAATATATTTATTCTGCCAGTACAATATTACCAGAAACTTCTAGTACATTCTAAAGACTGGGTGTGTTTACTATCTATTTGTAATAAGCTGTGTAAATATTAAACAAATAATTGACTACTGTATCTGTAAATATTCTAGTTTGCATTTTTCTCTATTTCAGAGCTTTAAAGCCACTCTATTTTATAGTGAAAGCTTAGAGAGACCCACAGATGCTGAGAGAGAAGACTGAGATTTTTCACCTTACTATAACTGTGGTGTTTCTCCACAATGACAGAGTAATTATTACAGTAAATGCAAAGGAATAAGCTGACATCTGTCCGCCTTTGAACATACAGAATTAACAAGCTCATTCTGGCCCATTTCACTGAAATAGTCATCAACTCATTTCCATACGATATAGCACAACACTAGGAACATAAGAGAACCAATTTGAGATTTTGTTATTTTGATTAACTGTAGTCATAATTAGGTATCTATCACAGCAGAAGCCCTCAATACCAAGCAAAATCACAGCTGTATCAACATTGGGGGAAATTCTGCAATACAGCACTTTAACCAAATGTACTTGGATGTATTGCAGGAATGTGAAACTTCTTTAAGAGGAAGAAGTGGTAATACTCAAGCATTAAAACATAATCTCAAGATCCACTCACTCTGTACACCATTTTGTGATAATGAAGAAACCATCCCAGGAAGACATTTTGCTGTATAATTCAGATTAAAAAATATTTTAAATACATGCACGTGAACAATGAGATGCAATGAACCCAGATACAGTCACTAGCTGTTTGTTTGTTTTTGTTTCCTGCTTTGGGGCAATACCTAGCAGTGTTTAGGGCTTAATCCTGGGTTCTGTGCTCAGAGATTAAGTCCTGACAGGGATTGGGGCAATGTTATGAGATGCTTAGTATTGAACCTGGGTCATTCACGTGCAAGACAATTGCCTTACCTGCTGTACTATCTCTCTGGCCACTCTAGCTGTTAGTTTTTAATTTTTGTTTGTTTGGGGAGTCACACCTGGCAATGTTCAGGGGTTACTCGTGGCTCTGCACTCAGAAACTGCTCTTTGCAGTGCTCAAAGATCCATATGGGAATGCCAGGAATCAAACCCGGGTCGACCACATACAAGGCAAGCGTCTTACCCACTGTATTATTGTTCCGGTCCTCTATCTGTTATTTTTATACAAAATTTCTTGACAAGTTCCATAGCCTACAGTAATAGAACATTAAATATTTTTTCTATCTTTAAATATTCTTATAGGCTGGAGTGATAGTACAACAGGTAGGGCGCTTGCCTTGCACGCGGCCAATCGGGCAGACCCGGGTTTGATTCCTCCACCCCTCTCAGTGAATCCTGCAAGCTACAGAGAGTATCTCGCCCGAATGACAAAGCCTGGCAAGCTACCTGTGACGTTTTCGATATGCCAAACACAGTAACAACAAGTCTCACAACGGAGATGTTACTGGGCCCATTCGAGCAAATCAATGAACAACGAGAGGACAGTGCTACAGTGCTAAATATTTTTATATTTGGGGGAGGGTTGGGCCACATTAGGCTGTGTTCAGGGCTTATTCGGATCTCTGTACTCAGGGATCACTACTGGTAAGTTCAGGGTACCATCTTGGATTGAAGCAAGGTTGCATGCAAATAAATTCTTTCTCCTTTGTATTATTGCTCTGGTCCCTATAATTTTTATAAAAAGTCATAGTAACCAAGTATAATAAAGTGTTTTGGCTGACTATTATCAAAATTCACACACATGACCACTGTCTCCCTGTAAAATGCTTTATCATGTTAGGAAATGTCAGATTAATTATGCAAGAAATTAATCTTGCATGATTATTCAAGTGAAACATAGGTACAGTAAATTAGAAGTTGATGAATATAGTGAATAAAAATAAATGAAAGTTGCAGAAACATTTCTTCACATTTCATTATACAAGAATAAACAAAATTTGGGTGTTGATTAATGTCATCAGAGCTTTTACTTCCTAAGGAAAGTACCTTTTGAGATCTTAAAATCCATTTGTTCCATAATGTTTCAGCTTTTTGATTCTAGGCTGTGAGAGAGATTGCTGAGCTGGTCAGAGAAATGGTACAGTGTGTAGGGGGCTTGTCTTACATGTGTTCGAGCAAGGCAAAAGTTATCCTTATGAAAAGTTTGACACAGAGTTTGACCTTATTGAGGAAATAGCACAGCAGTAGGGCATTTGCCTTGCATGCAGCCAACATGGCCGACCCGAGTTCGATTCCTCCGCTCCTCTTGGAGAGCCCGGCAAGCTACCGAGAGTATCTCGCCTGCACGGCAGAGCCTGGCAAGCTCCCCGTGATTCAATATGCCAAACACAGTAACAACAAAGTCTCCAATGGAGATGTTACTGGGCCCGCTAGAGCAAATCGACAAACAACGGGAGGGCCTCTACCTCGAGCTCGAGCAAAATTTATCAAAATTTAAAATCTTGTAGTGCAGGAATAAAATATTATGCTGATGGTCTAAACCATCAGAAACAGAGAGAGGAGATTTGCAACAAATAAGAAATATGGGTTTGAAAGTCAGAATGAAGGCCAACTCCACATTTTTCTATAGGTATAAATATATGATATACTGGGGCTGGAGCAATAGCACAGCGGGTAGGACGTTTGCCTTGCACACGGCAGACCCAGGTTCGATTCCCAGCATCTCATATGGTCCCCCGAGCACTGCCAGGAGAGATTTCTGAGTGTATGAACCAGGAGTAACTCCTGTGCATCGCTGGGTGTGACCCAAAAAAGCAAAAAAAATGTGATATACTGAATATATCTAAATGATTTACATGGTACTTATTCTGTTGAACCACACCACAAGCATTAACGATAGCATACAGATTCTGTTCTCAATATATTCCCTACCATGTAATGAAGTTTAAAACTAAACTATCTTGTCAGCTTTGAAGACATTCTCTAGTTTTCAGAAAGGTAAATCTTGGAAAGAGACCTGGTAGTTACAGTGGAATCTTCCAATTAAAACCCATTCATTCTACAAACATGTATAGATGTCTCATTATATGCAAAGGATTGTATGGGTGACATGAGAATAAGGCTCTGTCACTCTTCTCAAGAAGCCTGCCTCCACAGCAGACATTTATTCACTAGGAGAACCTGGCTCATTAAAAAGGGGTCTAATTTAGAGGGATCAAAAGCTTTATTCAGATCACAGTGTTGTAGTTTTCCCCTAGAAGTGTAAAGTATTTACACAAATTATTTGATTTCCTGTGGAGTCAGAATTTGCTTTGGATGTTTAATGTATGTCTGACTTACAAAGTCCTCATACAGAAACACCTTCTATAAAAAGTATATAGGTAAATAGATTAACATGTTTGTATTCATATGTATGTGTGTATGTATTTCTTCTTGCACAAAAATCCCATTATGCCTACTTTAAAATAATTAGATTCCAATTGGATTATATAAGGTCCCTTGGTTATTCTATACTTTTCTCCATTTATCATGAACTTTCAGAAACTGACCTCATTTACTTTAATATTTGAAAATAATTAAAGGGGATTTCACTTACTATAATTATCTTTGTAACATTTAAAATTGTGCATTTTTTATTTTCTGAGGACTAATACAAAAGGAAGAAAAAGTAATGAGAAAAGTTTCTTTTATATGAATGAAAATTTCACATAGGTTAGAAAATTCAAAGCCTTAAAAATATTAATAAAAAAGAATTGCTTGTATTCAAACAATCGTAATAGGTATTAAATATTTTTTTCTGTATTAAAATTATAATTACTTGTACTGCAGTTTAATAAAATTATTACACTCAAAAATTTAAAGGTCTTTGCTAAAAACAAATGTCACTTTTAAAAATTAAAATATAATTACATTATAAATATTTTTGATTCTTATATGAAATAAAAGCAACATTAAACATTAACATTTCCATATTTGATCAATCCAATTAATGTTTTATTGCTGACATCATTGTGAAACATTCAAATAGCTGATAAGTTAGTCTATCCTGAAAGTAAATAGCATATATGTTTAAAATGAAATAGTAAACGTGTATATTTTTCCAAGTCAAATTTTTTTCTGGAATAATTTACTTAAAATTATTTTTGCAAATCACTTAAGTTCAGAGTATTGTTACACAGGCAATGTCAAATTATTGTAGAAAATTACTATTGATACTATTGCCTACTAATGAGAAGCAAAACAGAAGTGCTAATCTCTACAGTTATGTCTGAAATAACCTGGCAAATGCATTTTATAGTTTTTATAGCCTACATATAAATCAACTTTCAGGCTATGACAAACTCCAACAATTCCAAAATGTTAATCTTAAATATTTTGGAAAACATTTTTTATTTTATCTGTAATTAAGTATGTGTTTTATTTGGGAGCCCTCGCTTACTATAAATTTCCCCTAAATTGCAAATGGCCAAAACTTTACAATTTAAATGATGTAGTAGTACATACAAGACTTCTCAGCTCATTTAGCTTCTCTTCCTCTTTTTGAATAAGTTTATTATTTTTATGTATGAACATTCATGTCACCATATTTATTAAAGAAAACTGTTGTGCTAGGATGAATACTGAACTTTCTAGGACTTGTGACAACACCTGTAAAGTTGATAATGACAAATCTACTTGAGGAAATTTTTGTGAATATCCTGTAAGATACTGTAGAGACAAAGCTAGTCAATATAAATACAATGTTGCTCACTAGAGAAAAATACATTATATAAATACAATGTTGTTCATTAGGAAAAAAACCAAACTTGAACCATCTACCTATGACCTGATAACTCCACAATCTCATATTTGCCTGTTCTTAACCCAGGAAGGAACATGTAAGCAACAAAATTGTAGATTTCAGTCAGTCTGTGTCTCATGAAAAGAAAAACCAAAACCCAATTCTTGTCCTTCCAACCACCTTCTAGCTCAGTAAGGGGAGACGTAAAAGTTGCTTTGCACTTGCGCTTCAATACGGAGTGTCATTCTGTGTGGTGCAGGCCCGGCCGACCAGCATCACTCTGTGAGTTTGCTAGGAACAGAAATGATCGCACTCTCCACTGCCTTCGGACTAAAACAGAAACTCTAGGGTGGGGCTCAGCTATGTGCTGTCACAGTCCTTCTGGCCAAGTCTGCTGCACACACCAAGTTGGAGCATCTCTTTGGGAGTGCCATCTGTAAACATCTGTCTAGAGAGAGGCCAGATTTCCAGAGACCTTCTCAAAACTGCAGTTGACTTTCCACCACGCTCCCTAACAAAGGCTCACGCTCCCGTGAGCCACCCTGAACTCCAGAATTGGCACGGACCCAGATGAGCTTGAGAAAATCCTTTCCCAGCAGCCTCAGCCGCAGACCTGGCCTGGTCTCCCTTGTCTTCCCCAGCCTCCCAGAGACAGAGGAGAGAGGCAGTATCTGCGATTACCTGCACTAGCGTCATCTGTGAGCCAAGGGCCAGGAGAATCTTCTCGGTTTTGGTGGGATACGGGTTGTCACGGTGCTTGTACAGCCACTGCTTGAGCGGTCTCGCCATGTCTTGCAGGGCCTGTCGCTTGTGCCTCACCTTCCCGCCATTCTGCCGGGTCCTGGGATACCGGGAGAGGAGGAGGACCAGGTGAGGGGCACCTCCCAGAAGAAGCGCTGCGGGCAGCCCCTCTCCCGCCCCCTCCCCATTTCAGCCGCCACCCCAGGGGCACCCAATCCCTGCGAAACCAGGAACGGGGGTCACGCAGTGGAAAATCCTATCGTGGCAGTTGCTCTTTAAAATAGCCGCCCGGCTTGGGAGAGGGATTTTTTTTTTTCTTTCTGGGCTATCTTGCAGTCAGAGGCGCGGGTTGGAGATTGAACTGGGGAAGGTTAAAGGCTTTGATGTAAAACGTTACTCAAGCGTCCCGGCTGCCACCCCTGGCCTGCCTGGCCCACTGGCTGCTGTGAGCTCTAGAACGTTTTTTCGGGGAACTCACGCCTGCTTCCCAGGTTTCTTCTGCAAAGCAAACGGGGCGCACTGGGCAGTGGGCAGGAGGTGGCCGCACCGCTGGGCGAGTTCTTGCCCCTCTCCTTGTTTGTTCCTTGTTACCTATTCCATGGGAAGGTTACAGGGCAAGGATGCAGAACCTAAAGGACACTTTGGGCCTCTTTCCCGGCTTGAGGGGGCCGCTTAAACACCTGGGAAAGTCTGTCCTATCTGGGACAGTTAAAGGGAAATGTGTTTGATATTTGCATGACTGAGACATAAACCTGAAAGCTTTGTAACCTTTCCCACAGTGATTCAATAAATAAATTAAATAAAATAAAATAAAACTAAAATAACTTAAAAAAAAAAAAAAAAAAAAAAAAAGAAAGACCTCAGAACGATGGAAGGGACAGCCAGCAGCCTGGAGGCGGGTTTGGACGCTGCGCTCCCGGGCAGCTCCGGGAGGTGTCGCCGCGCAGCCACCAAGCGCCCGGCCCCTCGGGGAGTCCCGCGCGCCTGCGCCGCGGCCCTGGAGCTTTTTCCTCTTTGAAATGCAATTCCCCTCCAAAGGACCAGTAGTAAGGTTTTGATGAAACCCGATCTGTTTTACTGACCCGCAGGGCCGCCGAACCAGCAGCTGATGCAATCCTTCAGGTGGAGACCGCCAGGAGGGCCGCCCCTCCCCCGGCGGTCCAGACATTGGGGGGCTGGAGCAGGCGCGCGGCTCATCCGCAGCCCGGGCAGCCCGCACCCCAGCGAACTCCCGGTTCCCGCAGTCCTACACCTTTCTAAGCCGAAACCCCGTTCCGGCCGGCCCGCAGCCTGGAGCCTCCGGGTTCGCTGCGGGCCCCGCCGAGCTGCAGCAGGCGCGCGTGCCTCCAGGGACCCGGCACCCCGAGTCCCACCCCTGGACAGCGGTTCGTGACTTCGAGGCGTGGCAAGGCCCAGTCGTGACCGCAACGGGGAAACCCACGGGGCTGGCCAGACCTGGGAATCCCCGGCCGTTCGGCCCTGCCCTCCTGTTCCTACATCCCACTCAGTCCCTCCTGCTGATGCTCAGCCGCGCGTGGGCACCCGCGGTCCAGAGAGCAGCCGATACGCCCTCCCCGGAGAGCTACACGTGTCCGAGCCCCGAGGGGCAGTTCCCGGAGTCCTCCGGTCCCCCTGGAAGCTTCCGCGAGCTTTCTAGAGAAATAAATTGCTCGCTGGAAAATTAGGGCTTCTAACAAACAGGCCAGCCCTTGGCGAAATCCCGGTCCCCAACCCCGACGCCCCCATCGCTCGGCGGGCCGAGGCCCCAGGAGGGCGCACCTACCCGGTCCGTCGGTGTCTCAGGCCGAGGTTGTCCTTGAGGGTCGGGCCGTCTGCAATGCCCACCTCGGGGCGGGCGTGGGGGCTGTCCAGGACGCCGCCGTAGGGCCTGCCGCCCCGCTCCCGCTCCGCAGCGCCGCGCTCCTCAAACAGCACGGCGCCGCTGAGCTTGTTGAAGACGAAGGTGTTCATGGTGCCGGCAGGCAGGGGCGCGCTCCCGGGCCGCTGCGCCTCCGGGCCAGGCCGCCGGGAACTCAGCAGGGCTCGGGTTCTAGGATGCGAAGGGGCATCGTGTTACTCGCGGAGAGCGCTCCCAGCCCGGGCATCCCGGACCCCGAATTAGGCAGAAACGCGGGGTTGCGGGGCCTCGGGGAAGAGGGGCAGTGCCGCGCACCCGGACAAGGACATCCCTGCCTCTCCACCTGGGTACGATTCTCCCCTTCCTCCAGCCCACCCCACCGCAGTTGCACACTGGCGGGGCGGTTCCTACCCCCGTGCAGTCTGAGCTAATCCATCGCCCGCCGAGGCAAAGAAAATTCCTAAAGGAGCCCCTGGTCTTGCCTTTAATAGGTACAAGCAGCTCACACCGCAGGGGTGCAGGACCGAGCCGGGTTCTTCGATCCCAACTGAAGCCGAAAGCTTCTCCTAGCTCCCACTCCGATAGTAAGGAGGGGTGGAAAGGGAGGAAAATTGGGGGGGGGGGCGGTAATACGAACAACCGCATCCGCAAGCCCCAGTTAATGAGTCCCAGGCCATACCGGGATTTCGGGGATTTTCATGTTTTCTAGATACTGGCTGGTTTGGCTCAAAACCCTGCGTCCTCATTCTGGCTAAGGTCCCTCGGGGTGGGAATGAGGACAAGAGAAGTTAGCAGACTCTAGAGCTAGAAAGTTAAGTGGCGTCAGGGATAGACGCACCCCATTCTTCCCCTTTCTCACCCCCACCTCCGCATTCTCCTACCACCTTTCCCCTTCGCACCCTCGCCGTCCCGCGCTGGGACCGGGCAGGTCAAAGGCGCCGGAGTCCCCAGCCTGCCAGAGTCAGCGGGCGGTCAGGACAGTCCTCCGCAGTGCGGGGACGAGCCTGGAGCTCGGAACTCTTCCTCTTTCTCCCCCTTTCTGGGTCTCAGGACACCATTTCCTCGGCTGCAAAGGTGTCAAAAGCCCAAAGAGGCCCCGCGGTCCGCGCGCCACCCGGCCAGCGGTAGCCACAGTCGCGGCCCAGTGCCAGCTCACCTCCCAGGTTGCGGCGGCCCGGAGTGTCGGCCCGCAGCGCGCGGGCGCCGGGGGCAAATCCGCGCCGCCAACGGGCAGCCGAGTTACCACCCCGAGGCGCGCAGACGCCCCAGCGCCCCCGCCCCCACCCCACCTCCCAGCCGCGCGCCTCGGGGCGGCTCCCCGCTCTTCCCAGCCTCCTGTTTGGCTGCCAGCGCCCCAACACCAACCTCCTGCGCCGTGGGTTGGCACCCCATCCCACCCCCGTTTACTCCCCATCCTCTGCCTCGCCGCGCGTCCCACAGTAGCCCACGCTCCCCCCCATCCGTCCGGCCACCACGGCAGCGGCCACGCGCGACATTTAGGGTTGTGAGCAGGGCCACACAACGAAGGGACTGTCGGTATTGGTGGAAAGGTGAAGTCGGACCTCTGCTGGCAGCTCTGGGTACCAGGGGACCGAGTTCGCGCGCAGACAGGTACGTGCAACGGGTGTACACACAGCCTCCGTGAGAAGCGTGAACGCAAATTTCCGTGCTCGCAGCCCTCCGCCTCGGCAGGGCTCGCCCTTTTGATTTTACGTTTTATTTCTTCTTTTCCAATCAGTGCATTCTGTGAATTGCATATTCACTCAGTTCCATTTGCCAAACACACCTTTCCCCGAGCCCCACCAGCCTCGCCGCCCTGTCCTTCTAGATGCTACACAAGGACGCGTTTCCCCCTAGAGAATCCGCGGCGAGGGGTGCCACGGCGTCCTGTCCAAGGCTGTCCCCATCACTAGAGGTGATCGCGGCCAGTAAACCCCGACGCTGCCGGCTCCCGAATGCCGCTGGCTAGGTGGGGTGGGGGTGACCAAGGACTCAGGGCTGGGCGTGTGAACCAAGCTGTCCTGCACCTCTTCTAGGCTACCGCGCGCAGCACTTACCCGCTTCACTCCCAGGTGCCGCGTGGGGAGCCTGGTTCCCGCGGGACGGCCGTCCCCAGCGCCCGCGAACAATTTCAATGCCAAGAAGGCGCGGCCAGGTGGACTTCCAGGCGTCTCGAAACCCTCTACGGCCGCTCTGGCCAATACCGGGGCGCGTCCCCGAAGGACCTCGCAGGGAGGTGGTGGATGGGGGGAAGGGTGGAGAGCGCCCCTGGAGCCCCGGGACAGAGGATCCGCAGACGAGGACCCCACGACGCGTCGGGCCGTACCTGGGACCAGCGGCAGGGCGGCTGGCTGTCCCGCGTCGAGGCTAGGCGCACTCCCATCCCCGCCGCATGTTCTCTGCACGGGCTCCAGTGCGCTCCCCGCCGCCACCGCCGTCGCCTCGGCTTTATTTACCCAGACAGACGCGCGCGGCCCGGGAACAGGAATAGCAAGGTCTTCTCATGTTTCCTGACTGCGCGGCCCAGCCGGCGAACATCCTGCGGGCGCGATATCCACGTTCCCGGGCCGCCAAGAGGAAGCGGCCGCTGTTAACCCTCGCCGAGAAGCCGCGGCCGCCGCACCCGCGCCGGGATGCAGGGCCGACGGCCTGGGCGCTTGGGAGAGAAACCGGAGAAGCCGCCGAGGGCGCTGGGCTCGGGCTCCCGAGCGGGCGGCTTTGGCGCAAATCTCGCGTCTGAACGGACCCGAGCGCCTGGGAATCTCTCCGTGGGGCTGCCGCGCACCCGTGATGCTCTTGCTCCCGAGAAGCTGGAGGAAAGTGAAGGAGCTGGGCTTGAGCGCTCGTCACCCGCAAGCGTGTTGCCCGAAGGGCTCTTCGCAGCGGTCCTTGGGTTTCCCAGGCCCTGGCGGTCTCCCAAGCTCGGACCCGCACTGGAGAAACGGCGCTTCGGGCCCTGCAGAGGGTCGGAGCGAAGCAAGGCAGGGGCGAGGCGAGCCCAGATGCCCACCCGCTGGCACGCAGGTGTGCAAGAGCAGGGAGCCCAGGACCAAGAAACCTGCCTAGAGCCAAAGGAATGGAACCTGGAAGAAAACCGAGCTACAGGGCAAGGAGAAAAGATGCTTATTATCGACTCATTGATGATACTGGGCTCCCTCCCCCGACTCCCCATTACCCCAAATATGAAATCAGCGAAAGCTGTGGTTGTAAAGCAAGCTCAAGCTGTCCAGACGTTCCTCAAAGCACAGAGCCCTAAGCCATACACAATCTCATCCAGGGCCTCCCTGCCACAGCAGCACCTTCTCTCTCTCTCTCTCTCTCTCTCTCTCTCTCTCTCTCTCAAACAGCGGAAAAGTCCCTTAAATCTGAGAGTGGAGAATCGTTCGTCCCTTTCTCCTCTAGAGGTAGCCCACCTAAACAACTTTTTTAAAAAGGCTTGGAAACGGTTAAAATATAATTAAAGCCATTATCCCCCCCCAATTAATCACACCCCGGAATTTTCCATTATGTTATCTCTCCAGGACATGCACACAAGACAGGCGAAGGCATAATCTGAAGCAGAAAGGGTTTTGCGCCTTTTTTTTTTTTTTTTTTTGCATAGCGCAGAGAAATACTGTTTTTGATCAGGTTTCCAATGCCCTTGGTTCTTATGTAACTTGCGTTACAACGCTCACATCTTCTCATTGTGCTGTGGTTGACGTGCTCTGCTGCATGTACAACTGTCAGCCTACAGACCTCACTCCAGGGATTTCAGAGCAGAGATACTTCATAGAGTTTCAGCTACAGACTCTCAGGGAACAGGTTTCACCAAGGAAAGATGTAATTGACAGTTACAGATATAATTGACAGATAGGAAATTGCAGATATAGTTGACAGAAAAGAGAACCATTTTTCTTCTATGACTTCGAGGATCACCAAACATTAGAGTGAAATCAGGTGTAACATGTTCTCTGACATATTTTGGTCAGCTCTGTTACATAAAGCAAAAGACATGTACTAGTTGCAATTTCATAATATTCCTCTGATTTATCTGGGTAAAATAAGAATTCTCATTCTTCTGTTTGGAGGATACTGGCAAAAATAAAGCTCTGTTTTATCCAACTTACACTGAGTATTGGCTAGTACAGGAGAAATGAATGATATGGTTTTTAGTTTTTACTGTATTTACACAATACATTTAAGAAGATTTTGATCACTTTGCATGCAAAATTATTTTATTTAAATCTGACATAGAATATACAGCCAAGCATTTCTGAAACAATATTTTATAGTAATAAATCTATAGCAATATAACCTTAGTCTCAGGCTAACTCAATGAAAATTTAACCCATAGTAATTTCTCTGACTATGGTTTAGTAAATTAGAACTCTCTTAAAAATGAAATAATGGGGGGTTGTCCAGTTTAAAAATGAAATAGTGTGTAGAATTCCTCTCTCTAACAAACAGGTGATCATGTGTTTTGTGATAAAACAGAGCTTTATTTTTGTCAGTATCCTCCAAACAGAAGAATGAGAATTCTTATTCTAACCAGATATTTATCAGTATAAATGTTACCATTTTAAATGAATTTCCTGACTTCTAATACTAAATTTCAACCTCAGTATATGAAATGCTATACTATAATCTTCAAAAGTAATGTTTTGATTTGAAGAAGCATGATTAGAAGATTAAAGAAAGTGTATGGTCATGTGTGAGAAAAATGTAGTGAGAAAAATATAGGCCAGGAGTTTGAAGGTTTAAACCCTAATTTAAATTCTGGTCCAGTTGCTGTTAGTCTAGCCTGAATATACTGGTGTTTCAAATGAAGATAACTTTTCCACAAACTTGTCACATGCTATTATTAAGATTTTTTTAATGTGAAAATAACATATTGCTATCGCTAAAGCTAGAAAAAAATGTTCAGACCACTTGGAAGAAATATAATCCATTCTGTTAGACTTAAAATGTAGTTAAAATGCAAGTGATGTTTACCTTCTCATAAAGAAAAGAGAGAAGTCTCAGTTTGAACATTTTGCTATTTTACTTAGGAACCTTACGTTCACAATAAATATTGGCCATGATTTTTAAAACTGTCATTACTTTTGAACTTCTTCTCTGACTATTGCTTTTAGGCAATGAAATTAATTACAAGTTAGAAATGGCTGTCAGTTCCTGGCCAAAGGGTTTAAAAGTAAGTTTATGAACAAAAAGCAGATTTGCCTTATCCTTGGCCAGTAGGTTGTGTGCAAATCCCACTGAGGGCCTTTGTGCACCAGACTAACAAGTATGAGAGTTTGCATTGGAGAAACATGCTAAGAAACACTGGTAGGAGTGAGCCCCAGAGAAATCATGAGATATTTTGCTTTATTTACCAACTAACTTGAATGAATTAAATAATACATAATAAAAAAACCCGTTATTTCAAGAAAGGTCTTCTTAAATTCACTCTTTTTTCCCCTTTTGGTTTTTGGGCCATGTCCAGCAGTGCTCAGGGACTTACTCCTGGCTCTGAACTCAGGGATTACTCCTGTCAATGCTTGGGGTAACCATATGGGGTGTCAGAATCAAATCTGGGCTTGCCACATGCAAGGCAGTCTCCCTCCCCACCGTACTATTGTTCCAAGCCTAAATTCACTCAACTGAAGAATAGAACATGAATGAGGGCTCTTCTTCCATCAGCTCCTCTCAAACAGATTCCTTAGAGACAACTACCAAGAGGTGTCTTTGTCTGGTTCAGTGGACATTCTTTCTGCCTTTTTTCTGTGTATTCATCTACATGAACACAAATCAAATTGTGCTACAAGTAATTGGCACTCTACTTTATGCACATTTACATACAAATGTACACAACTATGATTTATTAAGTCAAAATTTGCTTTTGCAGTCATTTCTTAGGGAACTTTTTTGCACATGAGTACATACAAATGAAACTTCCAGGAGAGGAGTGATAGCACAGCAGGTAGGGAGTTTGCCTTGCATGCAGCCAACTCATGTTCGATTCCCGGCATCCCATATGGTCCCCTGAGCACCACCAGGAGTAATTCCTGAGTGCAGAGCCAGGAGTAACCTCTGAGCATCATCGGGTGTACCCCCCCAAAGAAAAAAATGAAACCTCCCCCTTTTAACTGTTGCATAATGTTCCCTAACCTATTGTCTTTTCCCCTATGAATGCTTGTCTTCCCATATTTTTCCTATCATAACCAGTTAATAGAACAGAAGATCATGTGGGTTAATATCTTATTGTACATTATAGTGCTACTTGAGATAGGACAGGAAGTAGCACTCGGATCTTTTCCTTTGAAACCAAGATATCTTCAGCAACCTTCAACAATTACACAGCTCTTCTGTGTTCTACACATGAAATGATGCTATATCAGGGGTTCTGAAGATGTCCTGGGAACATTTTGTGGCCAAAACATACATTGAAGTACTAGAATTTCTTTGGAAGATAATTCTAGCTTGAAAATCAGTTTGCCTTCTCATCAAAAAGTAGTCACTTAAAACAGTGAAGACTTTTGATCATAGGCCAGTAGGAATCTGTGTAGTCAAAACCTAGTACATTGAAGGTGCTCAGTATAATTTTAAGATACAATTACTCTATGTACTTCATGCCCTGTCAAGCTTTTCATTGATTGTTCCTAAATTCATCCCTATTTTTTCCATATATATATATATATATATATATATATATATATATAATGTTTTGGTAAGTAATCCTCTACAAGAATTCCTGTGAGCAAAAGAGGTGTGTGCATCTCTTTTGTTAAACAAGAAAATGCTGTGCTCCTTTTTAATTCTCCTCTGTTAACAAGACCTGCCCTTGATGTGTCCCTCATCTGTTGACCAGTTAATAATCCAAAGAACCACAGAGCTGCATGATGACAGGAACCTGGGACCCTGAGTGGAACACAAGTTCAGCAAAATTTCCACAAAGGGCCAGCCAGTAAATGTTTTAGACTGTTTTCCTTGGAGGGTCTAAGTTCCAAAGAGCTCCATGCTATAATGCAGACATACTACTCAATTCTGAAAGAGCTCTAATAAACATCATTGAATGGACAACAAAGGTGAATTTTTATGTAATTTTTATGTTCCACAAAACTTTCTCTTTGGTTTGTTTCCAACCATTTAAAGATGTATTTTTTAATTTCAGTAACGTATACAGAAAACAGATGAGATTATTCTGTTGTTGGTTTGGGTTTGTTGGTTTGGGTTTGGGTTAGATTTGGAGGCCACGTCCATGGTGGTCATTGACTACTCTACTCCTTCGTGGTTGGTGCTCAGGGACCACCCTCCTGGTTGTTCTCTGAGGACTATGCAGTGCCAAAGATCAAGCCAAGTGCTCCTATGCAAAGTCTGTGCTTCATCCCTTTGAGCTATCTCCCTGACCCATGGACTTGACTCAAGTCTATGCTTGTTCCTTGATCTGAACCACTCTGATCTAGACTATTACTGAAAACAAATCAATTTCTTATGCAAGTCACTGTATTCAGGTTTCCTGATTAAAGGAACTTCATCTTTACCCTGAGAAGAGTGTAATGGTACAAATATGATTTTAATTACTCTGATGGATTTAAGGAAAGTCTTTTTTTTAGGTGACTAATGGCTGCAAGG